GGCGTGATCATGGCCTGCTTGACGATCCTCGGCGCCGTCGCCATGGAGTGGCGCAGTGTGAAGAAGAATGTGAAAAAGGAGAGCGCCGCTGCTGCAGAAGAGGGCAAAGCCCAATCAGAGGAAGCAGCAGCTGTCACCGGTTCTGCAAGCAAGCCAGAGGTCCTGGATGAGTCTCGGGACGTCACCGACGATGGCGGCGAGAAGAAAGTTCGGGACGAAGGGGACGACAATAAGGATGCCGTTTCAGAACCTTATTCTCAAGCCGGAGCAATTGCTTCGCCTGAGGAAACTGAGAAAGATGAGAGCAAAAAGCTTTGAGGGTCAGGCGAGCAAGAACATAGGTGCCTACTTGCAGTTTTATGTGTACATATCATCCGTACCATGGACGGGCTTAATACCCACTCAGTCATTATGGCGTGGCGTTTGGTGGCGGGGGTCAATTACAAAAAAGTCTCTCAGCTCCTATCCGTAAACCAGATAGTCGTAGTTACTCTACATCTAATATTCATCTAGCTATTTCTAACTCAAGTTAGCACTTACGGCCTGACCCTAGCTTATCGTAAGTGCTTCCAATGAAAAGAATTGTGCAACACCTTTCAACTTGTGTGACGTCAGTGGGGTCCAAATAAGAGAGATGTCTCAAAGGAGTCATCACTGGGTCAGTTGGGCCGCACTACGTGTACAGGAGCCATTTTTCTTGTAGACTCACTCTGAAGACAACTCAGCTAACCACACCTAAGAATGTTGATTTTCCTAGTCTTGTATTGACTGCTTTACAACTCTTTGCATTTGGTGGGATGATTATCATTCGATTCACGATAAAAGGCTCCTGCACCTAAAGCGGTCTGAAAAGTTAAATTACAATGTCGCAGATGATCCTTGTATTTATCCCGAATGACAAACATATTGTGCTGTGCTCCACTGATTTAAAAGCAACTTGCAGACTGCCGGTTACTAACGAGAACCTAGAACAAAGATCTGGGGATAGTGATAAACAGATGAAAATTCTTTTTCCGTCCCAACTCACTCTCGGAATGGCCGCTTACCTACCTACCTATGAAATTAAGACTTGACCCCCTTCTTTTCGTGACTGGCATGATAACTTATCCCCCTCCGGCCGCACATTGAAGGATTTCAGACCCTAAGAGTGAGTGGGTTGAACGTGTGATTAGTGACTGAGGTGTAGGTAGTGAACAGAACCACGGTGCAGGAGAATATAAACGAAGCTTGAACAACGACAAGTGGAGTATAAAAGGTGGGGTGGGAAAAAAAGGAGGAAAAAAAAGACATACAACACTAGGGATTCGCTGGTGGTCACCCATCTAACTACTGGTCTAGCGGTCACTGGCTTATTATCTATGGGAGAGCGGACGGGATCCCGAGATTTCCGCTGCCTATGGTCGTATGTGATATTTGGAGTCTGGATTTGGTGTTTTGTTGCAGTCAGTCATGGTGTTTTGATCCGCCGCTTAGGGGCTACCCTAACCCTGGTATCTGAAGGTCGCGCCTCGCCGAACTTGAGAAGCTCCAATAAAAAGATGGCTAGTGAGCTTACTGGGGAAGTACCAAGTGAATTCTTAGGAAGTTGCGACTGCTACTCTAAAGTGAATTAAGATATGTTCACTTTTTTTTACCGGGAGACTTGCTGAGTGCCCGACTAGATTTCCGTATTTCACAGCCATCCAAGGTGGTACTATGCGTCTGTGAGGCAGCATGACTTAATGCCACATGAGAAGAGCGAGCTCATTAAGCAGATATTGAGGCCCTTTCAGCACCTGTTAGCACCGAGCTTTACCGCGCAAGATGCCGTCGCAACCAGGCTACTGGACAGTTTTCGATCTCCAACGTCAATTTCAGTCAATTATCCTAGTCTTGCCCTTAATGATGGCTCGCCTTGGTATACAACAAATTGTTGTATCTTTCCATTCGTGTGTATGTCGCGATACCTCCAGTCTTCAACCTCCAGTGGAGAAAGGTTCGGGGAGTCAGGAAGCAAGCCAAGACCCCGTGTTGTAGCACCTCACGCCCATCCACTGCCCTTTGACAGTACATGGCACGACGACCGTAACTCATCCAATTTCGCCGGCTCCCGTATTCGAACGACCTCGGCTAACGGTAGTATTGATCTTCTGCAATCTGTTTTCATCAAATATCATAGATACAGGCACTCTACTAACATCTTATTCCTGTGCGTCTTGATTCCTTGGAGAAAAGTCTGAAAGTGTCTCCCGCCAAGAATACCGCATCCAATATTTTTGGAGAGGGAGAGTCCGCTTATGGGCAGGTATTGCAGTGGTTGCAGCAGTTGACGCCCTTGGGACAGCAGCAGCTGTTCGGGTCCCAACCACTGCACGGGCACTCCTTGCAGCCCTGTCGCTTCATGTTCTCGACCGACTCCAGACGTGGCAAAAGGAAGAGGGTTCCGTCCTCTCTTTTCATAACCTCAGCGTTACGAGCAGTAATGTCGGAGCGAGGGGCCTTTGAGGTGCGATGGACAAGTTAGTACAAGGCTGCTAGGCTCAAGGAATCTTTCTGTAGTTGGAGGCGGACCTGTGGAGTAGCCCAGGCCGAGCCAAGCAGGGCGAGGCCGAGAGTCATGAGAGAGACCTTCATTTTGACGGCAGGGTGGCTTGAGTTGTTTGCACTTTAAACTGTGAGTCCTAGAGAACCTGGAGGAAGATGTCTCTCCGAGGAGCACGATGGCAACATCTTCTCTTATAATTACAACATCTGTTCAGATGAGCACGGCCAAAGGCCTCTCATAGTCCGAGAGCTCGCGCTTGAGAATCCTGCTACTACCTCAACCCGGTATCTCCACCCATAGAACCACATTACGGGTGTATACCCCTTCATGCATTAACCACTCAATTTGCAGTAAGGGCATTCGGCGGGCTAAGTTTCATTTAAAAGTTCATGCTTTGGGGCAAACTCCGAGACTGGGTGACGCAATGTGCGATGATCTGTGCCTCTTCAAGAGGACGCGGCATCCCTCAGAGGCTTAGGCAGCACCATTACCTGAATAAATGCCTAGATTAATGCCTCGTGTGGACTTGTCAGTACTAAGACTAGCTTTAACCTACAGAGCCATCAGCTCTAAGGGTTCCCCCGAGGATCGAGGACTGAGCGTATACACCAGGTATGATGGAATCTCAACCCGCAAGCCATGATGCAAGTTGCAACACCAAGAGAAGCTCCGTTCGGTGATCAGCTTCACCCAAATGGCAATCGTTGCCCCGCTGAACCCACTCATTTTTCGTATCCTCGTGATAGCTCGTAAAGGCACCGCGGCAAATTTGGATATTCAACAGCCATCGCCTCATGTGGTTTTCTGCAAAGCACTTGGAACGGGCTGGGATTGCTCTGAACGAGAACCGCTGCTACATTGACGGAATCTAGAAAAAACCTAGTGTCAAGGGGGGCCAAGCCTGAATGGGTTCCATAGAGGGCTCGGGTCCGCGCATTTGCTCGGATTCGGAACATTTTCCGAGACCGGCTTGTTAGCCGTGATAGCGATTCAAGAAGGGATCTATAGCATAGAAGGGAAACAGAAACACAACTGCGCCACACTCTCGGTATCTCTTTCTGGGCTGGAGACCCGCACTTCATTGTATTTGCAACAAACGGATATGGTACACGAACTCCGGATATGCCTTGCCATCGAAGATAAAGAAAGGGGAACTGGCAGCAATTTCTTCGGGTCTTTGGGGCGGGTACCATCGCTCCTATTCCTAGTTTTAGGCTTTCTTACTGCAGCCACCTTCGCCTCGTTACCACTTATATCTACTTGAAACTCTAACTCTCTTCTGGCTCACATTCTCAACTAGTTAACCTGCACACACAATGGATCCTTCTTGCCACGACAAGCAGAAGTCCGTCACCTCCTTATTTCTAGAACTACCTAATTAAACCTGCACAGCCGGACCAAATCTTCAAAGGCAGGCGTCCAGCTGCAGAACTTGCCCCATTATAAACAACACCTAACAATTTTCTCTGATTGGAAAGTCTGTCACATTGAAGGAAATACCTGGGAATGCAGCCCTGCGGAAATCGGTTCTGTTCTGATCGCCTGTAGTTGGGCGTTTGTCCCGGTACGGAGCTCCTCAAAACGTCCAAAATGTATCTGTGAGTACCTTGAAAATGACTCGGGATAATTTCGGGGACTTACGCTGCTACTTGCGCAACTGCAGCAAGTATCGTGTTATTGTTTGTAGGTTGCTGCGCCATTATTCAAATTTACCTAATTTTCTGTACGAGTATTCTCTACACCGAACCGTTATTTAGGCATCCGAGCCGAACGCTAAAATTGCAGTGCAATTCCTCTTACTGGTTGGTACCTCCCCCTTCATTAGCTTCACTTGGGGGCAGGCAAGAACGAGGTGCCTACTTTGAAGTTGAAAGGATCAGTGACAGTATCGCCATCGCCATTTCCTACGCTAAAGTGCAGTCTATCTGTTTGCCGGCCTCAACAATCATCTCAGGATGTGGTGCTTTGGTGTTGCTTGTCGTCCGCCGCTGCTCTCAAGCTGAGATGCCTCGGCCAGCTGGGGCTCCTCTTCTTCCAAACTGGGCACTCACAACATTCATCCACAAAGCAAAACGGCTGGATGGTGGAGTGGTCTAACACGCAGTCGCGAGCCACCATCTCCACAATCCAAAGGTCCATACACACATCTACCATCCGCCCAGTCCTCTTATTCCAAACTGGGCACCATAATAACTATCAAGCAACAAACAAACACCTGGATATTGGAGTGGTCTAACCCTAAGATTAGCCTTCATGGTATTTGACGCGTCTGAATATATCCCACCAACATTTCTCTAGTGGTGAACGTAAGTCTTGACGGACATGGGCTCCATCGTATGGTGGGGCGGCAAGGTCAACTTTTTTTGGGTGGGGCCGGTCCGCCTGCACACTGACATCGTCAAACACACGCACATCCACCACCCAACCCAGTCCTCTTAGTCCAAACTGGGCACCAGAATATTCAACAAAAAGGAACGGCTGGATGGTGGAGTGGTCTAACACGCTAGTCTCAAGTATCATCTTGACCCTGAAAAAGGGATAAATACTAGTCTCGCAAGAGGCGCGAGTTCGAATCTCGCTCCAGTCACACTTTTTCTTTTTTTTCTTCTCTCTTCTTCTCGAAGAAGAGAGAGCCTCGAATGGCTGTGGAATTAGGTTTCGACACGGCGAGGGTGCTTTGTGGCTGTCGTTGGACTCTTGTTAGTGCGGATGAAGGCACTCCTCCTTCGTGAACGAAAGGATGTTCAAGTTACCGTCGTTGGCTTTGCTATTTACTCATCTCCCACGCGAACAGTAACAAAGACTTCAACCTCTCTATCCATAGATAAACAAGGGATGTCTGATCGACAGACTGAAAGAAGCATTTCGTATGCCTTATATACAATGCCGGCATCAATGAACGACACAAGAGGTCCCAAATAGGAAACAAAATCCGCCATCACTTTTGCCCTCCCAGTCCCAAAACGCTGAAAGCCCGATCGAGCTCCTCCCCTTCGTCCGGCACCGCCATCTCGCTCGCTCCGCCCGGCCCATGTCCATCCTGCCCGAAACTCGGCCCCCTAGCCGCATATGACTGCCCATATTGCTGCCGCTCATACTGCTGGTGCTGCCGCTCATACAGCTGCTGCTGCCTGTATTGTTGATGATGTTCCATAGAAACCATCCCATCATGGCCCGCAGCCAGCTCCCCATCCCATGGTGTCACCGTAGCAGCAGAAGCAGCAGCAGCCGGTGCTTGGGAAGCCGCAGCAGGGGCAGCAGCAGGGGTGCTCTTCCGCTCCGGCTCCAGCAAACGCGCGTCGCTGTCCAGCCAGCCCGGCGCAAGGCGGCGCTTCTCAGCCAACTCGCGCGCGCGTGCCCGTTCATCGAGAGCGCGTAGCTCCGCCTCGGCTTCGGCCTGGAGCTTGGCGATGTGCGCTTGGAGGGCGCGACATGACGCGATGATGTCGTCTGGATGCGCCGCGTGGCCGGACGAGGAGATGACGTATTTGGGGCGGGCGGAGCCGTCAGAGGAGGAGGATGTGTTGCCGTCAGTGGTGGCAGCGGTGATGCCCGCGGTTGACGGGGGGAGTGTGTTGGGCATGGGCTTGTAGGTGTAAGGCAGCGTGGTGGCAGTCGGGAGGTTGACGAAGGGCGAGACGGTTAGGGGAACCTGCTGGAGGAGTGGGTGGGAGCCTGGTGAAGGTAATCTTAGTGAGGAAAGTAGAGTTCGAGGATGCAACGAGAGGATATGCCTACGGTTGTCATGCATGATGACTGTGGTATGATGCGTGTTGATGGACGTGGTGGTTGTTTGGGACTCGTTTGCGCCCCTCGGAAATGAGACGACACCGACAGGAATGGGGAGTAGCGTGTCAATAGTATGTACAAGAATGGAGTGCTCGTGGAGATAGACCTTCTGCAATGTGCATTGATTTTGTCACGCTTTAATGGTCGACTTTAGCCTTTGGCGCTGAAGCCACGATCGCGGGGTTGGGGGATGTCGGATGGAGCTCGAGGTCCTCAGCGTGTGCGCCGGCAGGCAGCAACCGCGATAAGACGATAAGCTCCGTTGACCCCACTAAAATTTCCCCAGCTCCCTCCATCCCGCCTCCAAGCCCGAACAACAAGCATCAACACATTCGCGAAGATGTTGCCCGAAACTATTCGATCGCCACCCTCGCTGAGCGAGTTCAAGACACTCGCCGAGCACCTGGAACAGACCCCGGAGACGTTCTACGGCGGCAAGCCAGTCCTCTACTACCATGCGACAGGCGCAAAGGCCTGGGTCCCCAAGTCGCAGCGGGGCAACCTGCCCTTCTTCCCAGCCGACCTCTCGTCCGCACCAACCGAGCCCGAGAGCCTCGCGCTCGAGAAGCTCACCCTAGACGAATCGCCCGACGAAAATGTCGAGCAAAAGGTCGATCTCTATGTCAGCTCCAAGTACGACTCCTGAGCTCCCTCTCCCCTCCCTTCAATCTCCACTTTCAAATCCAAACAAGCTAGCTAACGGGTGTGTTTCCACCACTCCTAAGAACGCTGACGATCTTCTGCCCCGCCACCGAGTCCGGCCTGTCCATCCCCTACCCGCTGGTCAGCATCCACGCGGTCAAGACGTACAGCCAAGGCGAGCACAAGGTCCCAACTGTCTACCTCCAGCTGGAGCTTTCCGACGGCGGCGCAAACGACGACGACTTCGATACCGTCGAGCTCACTCTGATCCCGTCACCCTCTTCCTCCTCAGCCGACTCGACCCCCATTGCCGCTGATACTACCACCACCGGCGGCGACAGCACTTTGCCCCGCGAGATCTCTGCGCTGTTCAATGCCATCTCCGAGTGCTCCAACCTCAATCCCGACCCCGAAGCCAGCGACGAGGAGGAAGAGGAGGACGATCGGATCATCTTTGAGGCGGACCACCAGGCGATTGAGGGCTTCTCGGGCGTGTTTGCTGGCGCGCGAGACGGCGGCTTGCCTGCCGCCATGCCGGGCAGCTCGGGCTGGATTACTGCGGAAAACGTTGGCGAGTTCTTCGACGCGGATGGAAATTGGATTGGTGGAGAGGAGGGAGTGAGCAGAGAACTGGGCGACGGTGCTGGTGTTGTTCACGGGCGTGATGATGATATGAATGGTCATGGCACAGACGAAGAGGGTGATCTGAAGCGAACAAGAACTGATTAAAGGTTTGGATGGGGGTCGAATCAGATAATCTTGTTGCAGTTGGGGCCTCTTGTTTCCATAAAATGGGAAACTTGATTATTAGGTATCTTGCCCAGCTCAAAGCTGGTGAATGAATCTACTTGTAGGCCCAAACTAGGCGTTGCTATGGCGTTATTATGAGCAACTCAAACAAAGATGGCGAGAGAAATTAAGTGTCTGCTCCAACAGGGCTTTGTTTCTGGATACATCTCTTACATGTTTCTCCTGCCCGTTTATCCATGCCAACATACCAACAGTATGCTAAGAGAGATTCTCCCAGTTATCTCAACAATAATATCTCCATTATATCCATCTCGATAATACTCCAACAGTCTCAACGTTCGGTAGCGATCAATTGCGTCTCCAACCCCCCCGACCAAATATGCTCCATGCTTTCCTACTTTGGAAGTCAAACTGGAAACTTTTAAGTGGGCTTGTTCGGTACTCTAATGTCGATTTCTTAGATGATGTCGCCCTCCTCTTCTTTGCTGATCGTGTCGATTATGCCTTGTGTGTCTTTCGATCCGTCTTGGCTTGGGCTCTCTCCTTCTTGATCAGAACACTCTCCCTCCTCGCTGGGACACACTTCCTCCTCGCTGGAGCACTCGTTCTCCTGATCGAGTTCTACATCCTGAGCAGAACCCTCCTCTATCTCCTCCAAGTCCTCATTGTCTAGGCTAGCCTCGCCATAGTAATCCAAGTCCAGTTGCTTAACTGCCAGTTTCTTGACCAATGCCTTCCACGCGTCTGATTTCGCCTCGAGGCTGAGGCTGGGAGCGTGGAAGTTAAATGCATTTTTCATATACTCCAGGCCTTTGTCGATGGTCTTGTCAGACCATCGATAAAGTGCCAGCACCAGGAGAACATTCTGTATCGTACCACGAGGACCGCTATATTTCGTCGTTCACCCAGGGTCGTCCCCGGGTGTGCTGAAAAGACCGCTTAATATGGCGGAATTAAACAATATGGCGGAATTAAACAATCTGACGGCAATCTCTATGGTTATGATCATGTATGGAACGTGAACCTTGGACCATCTGCTGATGGATGGGCATGAATCGCAAATGTGGTTGAGTGCAGACTCGTGGCGCTGGGGGCCGTTAAGATATGCCAGGAAAGGCGTGATGGTGTCCTCGTCCAAACTCCAGATCCGCCCTGCGAGTCACTCTGAACCCTAACAATTCGACACATAACGCGAGGCAATAGCTAATCACGGAGATCTCGATCTGCCATCATGTGTTCCTCCCAATCATACTCGGGGATGATTGCCCTCACAGAATGGCTTTCTCAATCGTATTTGATGGTCATTGCCCCCTCATAGTGCAACTTGATGGCTTTGATATCGTCCCAGATATCGAAATCAATTCTCACATAGTTCGGCAAGCGCAGCCACAAGTCTGTATCACGCTAGGGAGTGACGGAATTGACGGGCCCGTGGAATCTCACCGCCCAGTCCAGGCTCTCGTCTAGGGCAGAGAGGTAGCTACGAGCAGGATGGCTTGGGTGCGATTGCGCATCTGCGTCCAAACGATTGCCCCATTTATTCTCCAGTGCGGTGATTATGTCTGAAATGAGATAGTGAGTTTGGACTGCCTGAAGGGCGGTTGTGTTGTTCGTTGTAGGCGAGCTGCTGGGGCCGGGGGGAGGCATGTATCCCGTTAGAGGGAAGTATTCTTCATAGACAAATTTCCGGAAGGCGATGACTGTCCCGGCCACATGCACACTACTGAGCCGTGCTCTCAGTTTGGCGCGGTTTAGCACTTCTAGGGTAGGGTCATGTTGGAGAGGTTCGCGATGAAAAAATTCTGACTCTATATCTTGCGTGACGGTAATACTTGTGAGTAATAGTTTATTGTCAACGGCGAGTGAAACTTACGGAGTCCAGCTTTCTAAGTTCCTCGATATACCTAGTATACGAAGTGGAATAAGGATCGAGGCTAGTTCTCAGATTTGCTACGCTCTAGCTCATCCTCGAGAACGGCCCTGAAGCTCCAATCGAGACGATGATGAGCTTTATGGTTGGGTTTCAGACCGTTGCGGGACTTTTGAAAAAGGAGTCCAAGTTCGTTCGTCAGTTCCAATATACGCACCGCTTCCGCCTCTTCGATCGCCATCATGGAAGAGGCGAGTTGACAATGTTTGCGGCAATTGAGTGAAGCGTGTGGCTGGATTTGGGCGGAAAAAAGAACCGGAGGAAGTCTGAGGGTGGAAGGAATGAGGCGGAATTGCTGTGGGCGGAAGAAACCCTTTAGAGGTGCGAAATTAAGCTGAGTGTGCTCTTCGCTCCTTCCCTACTGGCAGAGTTGGTTCAAATCAGGCAGGTACGGCTCCACTCTGCTTCCCATCTTGGTTTGAGCCTAGTTGGGTTCTTATCACGAAGCTCCTGCTCGATGCTCGGTTGTTCTCCTA